TTTTTAATGTTTTATTTATTTCTGAGAGAGAGAGAGAGAGAGAGACAGCATGAGCAGGGGAGGGTCAGAGAGACAGGGAGACACAGAATCTGAAGCAGCTCCAGGCTCTGAGCTGCCAGCACAGAGCCCGACGCGGGGCTCGAACCCACGAACCGTGAGATCATGACCTGAGCCGAAGTCGGACGCTTAACCGACTGAGCCACCCAGGCGCCCCATAAGAACTATGATTTTTAAATGATCCAAATAGACTGGGAGAGTAATTCTTGGGATATGAATTAAAAAAACAAAAACAGGGGCGAGCCACAGGTTCGAGCCCCATGTCGGGGTCTGTGCTGACAGCTCAGAGCCTGGAGCCTGCTTCAGATTCTGTCTCCCTCTCTCTGCACTTCTTCTGCTCTTTCTGTCTCTCTTAAAAATAAACATTAAAAAAATTTTTTTAAAAAAACAACAAAACAGATTCTTGGAAGAGCTTTCATTTGACAGCAGCCTTGGAGATGAGTAGAAATTCACCGCGTAGTCAAATGTGGCAACACCAGCTGCCAGATGGATGCAGGAACCACGTGGTCTTCCGGGGGCCTCCAAGCACTTGGCCGAGGCTGCCTTGTGAAGGGTTGGGAGGGTTCCCAGCAAAGGCCATGGAGTCTACTCCCGGGGTGCTTTTATCTACAACAGCGGAATACTTCTGATGACAAATGTGCACATGTGTGGCAAGCAGCTCTCCCGATCTGTGGGGACACCAGCTGGGGACACCAGGGCACCCGGCTGCTAGAATTCTCTCCATTCTAGCAATAACCACCAGAAGTGGTACCAGACCCCACAGGTTAAGGGCTGAGTCCCATGAGACTGCTCCCTACTTCAGAACCCTGTCCTAAGTGGTGGGTCCCCAGGCTACCCACACTTCTGTCCAATCTGACTACAAATCAGGGGTCCTCATGACCCCCTCCTCAGGTCCCATGATTTGCTATAACAGCTCACAGAATTCAGGAAAGTACTCGTTAACTTTGCTGATTTATTAAAAAGGATATTATAAAAGGGGCGCCTGGGTGGCTCAGTCGGTTAAGCGTCTAACTTTGGCTCGGGTCATGATCTTGTGGTCTGTGAGTTCGAGCCCTGTGTCAGGTTCTGTGCTGATGGCTCAGAGCCTGGAGCCTGCTTCGGATACTCTGTCTCTCTCTCTATTTCTCTCTGGCCCTCCCCCATTCTCTCTCTCTCTCTCAAAAATAAATAAACATTAACATTTTTTCAAAAAGTCATATTATAAAAGATACAAATGAGCTTCCAGATGAGTAGGTACACAAGAGGAGATCTGGAAGGGTCCACAGAGTGCAGGAGCTTCTGGGCCCATGGGGAGGGGGGTGCACCAACCTCCCGGCATGCAGATGCCTTCACCAACCCAGAAGCTCTCCAAACCCCCTTGTTTAGGGTTTTGTGGCGGTTCTATCACATAGGCATGAATGATGAAATCATTGGCCGCTGGTGATTAACTCAATCCCCAGCCTCCTCCCCACCCCACCCCCAACCCCGGCAGAATGGGGGCGGGAGCGACTGATTAACCCTCTAGTCCCATGATTGGACCCTCTGGCGACCTGTCCCTGATTGAAGTTATCTAGGGACTTCTAGCCACCAGCCGTGTCATAAACTCCAGAATGGCTGAAGGGGCTTTCTGTGAATAACAAAAGATACTCTTGTCACTTCCATAACTCAGAAAGTTCCAAAGCCCTTTTAGAAGCTAGGAGAGAGACCACTATCATGACAAACAAGGCTGCTGGAACCCCTACTACTCACGGATTTGGAAGCCAAGAACCAGAGACGGAGACGGAATGTATATGTCTCATTGTGTCACAATATCACAGAGTCATGGGGCCTGGATTCGAATCCCAACATCTATTGGCCGGGTGACTCACTGAACTGGACTTTCCTGTTTCCTAAAGTAAGGATGATTGTAATAGCTGGCTGGAGTGAGAAAGAAATATGATGAAAAGGCATCCCGCAAGTGTCTGGCACACAGTAGGTACTCAGGGTGTGTTTAGCATCTTAAAAACAACAACAAAGAAATTGTAATTTAAATGTAACAAACATCAGTGCCTCCCACAGGTCAGGTCTTTCCATGGCTTCCCACCTAACCTTTGCCGTCATTCGGTAGGCTGTCACTCCCATTTTACAGAGGATACCGCAGAGGCTCACGAGGGCTTGTTCAAGGTCACAACAGGTGACAGAAGATGGGTAGGGATTAGAATGCAGTGAGCTGAGTGCCAACCCCTGAATGTTTCCAGAGACTCTTCTTCAATAGACAAACCTCCTGGTCCCTCTCACTTCACTTTACCGTACAGACTGTTTGTAGCATCCCGGTACCCACGTCTGACTCTTTCTTTAGTAACAGGAATTGTGGCTGGGTGCTGTAGCTCAGTCCAAAGTCTGCATTTCCTTACCTCCCTTTCAGCTGGGTGGGGCCATGACGCTAGGTTATAGCCCATGAGATGTAAGAAGCCTGATGTGGAACTTCTGGAAGTTTCCTAAAAGGGGAGACTGCTTGTAAGTAAATGTTTACTTAAAAAAGAAAAGAAAAGGGGCGCCTGGGTGGCTTAGTCGGTTAAGCGTCCGACTTTCGACTTTCGCTCAGGTCATGATCTCACGGTTCGTGGGTTCGAGCCCCGCGTCGGGCTCTGTGCTGACTGCCAGCTCAGAGCCTGGAGCCTGTTTCAGTCTGTGACTCTCCCTCTCTCTCTGACCCTCCCCTGCTCACGCTGTCTCTCTCTCCTAAAAATAAATAAAAAAACATTAAAAAAAAAGAAAAGAAAGAAAGAGAGAGAGAGGAAGGAAGGAAGGAAGGAACGAAGAGAAAGAAAGAAAGAAAGAAAGAAAGAAAGAAAGAAAGAAAGAAAGAAAGAAAGAAAGAAAAGAAAGAAAGAAAGAGAAGTGCCATCTTCCTTCCTCTTTCCTTCCGACTGGCTGAAATCAGACAAAATCGCCGGAGCTCAAGCGGTCACCTTGGGCCACGTGGAGCTATGCTGGTAGGAGAGGATGGTGAGTCACCATCCCAGTTCTAGATTGCCTCCCATTTCCTCTTCTGAATTGTCAGCTCCTCTCCAGCTCCTCTCGGGTAAGCCTTTTCTTCAGCATTTAAATAGGCCCTAGTTTCTCCCAACCTAAAAGAAAACACATTCAATCTCATGTTCCTGTTTCTCTCTCTTCCTCTTCACAGGCGCACCAGATGGGAAGAACTGCTGATTCTCAAGGTCTCCACGTCTCCATCTCCCAGCCATTCCTCAACTCACTGCATCTGGATTTCTGAGCTACGGTTCTACCTAAAATGCCTGGGCCTCTGGGGAGCCCTAAACCTAAGGGACTTTCTTCAGTAACCTTCTAACTAGATCTCTCAAAAGTATGTTACATTGTTACGCATGCACTCCTCATCCGGGGTTCTATGCCAGCCTCCGCTCCCCAACCTCTCTAGGGGCTTCTTTGCTGTTGTCTTTGATGAAGGAACATAAGGCAACTTACACTCCAGAAGCCAGCCCCCACCCAAGGTGGGATATGTGGTATTCCTCTGCCATTCCTGGATGCCCAAGACAAAGGAAAAGGACAGAAAACAAATGGTTAAATTTGTTTGATAAGAGTCTCCATCAGTTTACAAATATCCCATTAATAGCCACGAACTCCCTACTATCCTAATGATGCTTTGCTAGAGGGGAAAACAACCTTAACTTGACAATAGCTACGCATCCAGTATTCTGTAAATTTCATATGGAAATCCCTTTAAGAAACTTCCTTTTGACTTTACCTCCCCCACCTCCACAATATCAAAGCAGTCATTTTGCACAACCCCAGGGCAGCTCTTCCTGCCAATGGGTCCTGTCCTCGCGTTTTAATAAAGTCACATTTTTGTACTAGACACGTCTTCAAGAATTCTTTCTTGGCTGTTGGCTCCGAACCCCACCAACACCCCAAAACTCCATCAGTCTTCTCCAGCCCTCTTGATCTCAGGACTGATCTGACTTCTTTTCTTGCAGGTCTTAAAAGCGCCGAAACTCAACATGTCCAAACTGAACTCAAGGTCCTTCAATCCTCCTCACCTCCCCCCTCCCCCAGGAGATTTGCTGTTCTTTCCAGAAATCTGGGAGAATCTTTGACAAATCTCTTCCCATCATCAACTGCAACCAATCTACAAATCAAGCCCTGACAATTTCATCTCCTAAATAAAATCCATCCATTGGGCAGTGGCAGCTGACTCAAAGCACTATCATCTCTTGCAAGGAGCAAGCACAACTTTCCCTTAATTGCTCTTCATTCCAATACCCCTAAACATGGGTTGTGTAGCAGTTGTCAAAGGGATCTTTCTACCAATGGGATCGTGTCTGTGGCCTGCCCAGAAGTCAACAACTTTCCTTTGTCTCCCATATGAATAGGCCAACTCCTGCCCGGGGCTGGGCAAGGTCAGAACCTACCCCGCGGCCCTTCATCTCACTCCACCTCCATCTTGGTTCCAGCTCTCGAGATCTTGTGTGACACGCATGCCGCTTGGACCACACGCACACGCTCCCTTTTCACGTGCACTAGCCGTCCCCTCGGCCTGACCTGCCCTACACTCCTGTGTCACATCCATGAGCTTCCCTTCTTGGCATTTAGCCCATCTCGAAATGATTTAGGTATGTACTTGATGTCCCCAACTAAAACGTGAGTTTTCCGAGGGCGTCTTGCTTACTGCTTCACCCCTATTGGGCCAGGCATGGTCACCCAACGAATAATTATCTAGTGAATGAATAATTCACCGGACCCCACGCCCAAAGAGTCCATGAAGAACCCAAATCCGGTGTCTTAGGAGTCCCACCTGAAAAGGATCCTGGAAGAAATGCGCAAATAAAACAGGCGAGACGCAATCACTCAGGGCGCCTACGCACACCCTCCTCTACGGCCCTATCCCACTCTGGCCGCGGGGTGGCGCTGTGAGCGTGCTCCTCCAGGCCGGCTACAGGCCTCTCTAGCCGCCCTTCTCGCCTGCTCTGCTGGGAGGCGGGCACACCCGCGGGGGTCCCTCCAAGATGGCGGCGCAGAGGAGGAGCCTGCTGCAGAGTGTGAGGAACGACCCGCTCTCCGGGCTGGGGGGTCGGGAGCCCAGGGGGAGGCCTGTCGGGTGCAGGCGCAGCTCCCTCTCCGCCGTTGGGCAGCCTTCCCCTCCCTGACGAGGTGTAGCTGCCGCCCTCCTCCCTCCCGGGCCGACCCCCTGCTCATTCCCGAGGCCCGAGGCGCGTGCGGCCGCGCGTAGCCCGCGCGTGCGCGCTGCCGCCGGGCCGCCCGGGGCTGGGATTCGCGGTCGCAGCGACCCCGAGCGTCAGGGGCGCGCCGAGGGTGGGGAGCGTCCTGGAGCCGGAAGGGAAGGTGGCGCGCGGTGGCGCAGGTAGTCGCGGCGGTGAGCCCACTCCAGGCACCGAGCTGCCGCGCCGTGATAACAGTTCTGGCGGCAGCAGCCGGTGGTGTTCCTCCCATCACCCTCCAGGTTTCCTGCCGAGTGCTTTACGTTGTAAGCTGAGTTTTTGTAACAGCCCTGGGAGGTGGGTACTCTTCTTCCCATTTGACAGATGAGAACACTGGGGCACAGAGACGTGGTCATCTGTTCAAGGCACACAGCAGAGTCAGGGTTAACAGCAGATAGCCCGATTCCAGAAGCTCTGTTAACCAGAGGAATGACCCAGCGGCAGCCTGGCTTCCGGTCCTGCCTCTAGTTGACCATGCCTCGGTTTCGTGAGAGCCGGCACTGGGAGGATTGCCCTGACACCCTTACCCCCAGTCCGGACCTTCAGGGACTTGTCGCGGGTGTCTTACAGCCCCTGCATCCTCCTGACACGTGCACACGGGTGCCTACACAGCGTAGCAGCATGAGCCCGTTCTGACCTGCCCCTGTAGGGTGCCGGTGCCCGGGGTCTGGCCCAGACGTGGCAGGCCGTTGTACTTGCCTCGATTTGCCTGCCACCTGTCCTGATCTACGGTGAATAGTAGATTTCCAGCACTTTCCACCGCTAGGTGCCAGGCATTCAATAAATATTTGTCAACTAGTAAAGCATTCGTAGCCACGTCCAGTGCTTCGCCTTGGCCTTATAAAAATAACACCAGCCATTGGCCTTCCTGCCCTTGAGGGACTTAGAGCATCAGAATTGGAGGAAGGGGTGACCTTCAGTGCTGTACTCTAAGGACAGGCTTTGTGTCGATGGTCTTTGAAAAACTTCCGGGACAGCAGTTCCCAGATCTCCCCCCATCGGATTGCTCTCCCCTTCCACACCTTTGGCTGCCCCTGGATTTTACTGGTGCTCTGCAGGTCAGCCTTGTCAGAGTTAAGTAGGCCTGGCCCCCTGTTCTGTAAGCTCCCAGACGGGCAGCGCCCCTGTATTAATTTCCCCACTGTGAACATTCGGGAAATCTGGGCTGGACTGCAGTGAGTGCTGAAAGTGGTCACTGCTGCGCACCGACTTGGCTTGCTGCAGAGAGTGCCTTCCAGCTTCCCGCTCTGCTCTGTGATGGAGCTCCCTGGGGCCCAGGTTAGACAGAAGCCAGGCTTTGCCAGCTCCAGAATGTGTTCCTGGTGGTAGTGGAATCATCGTGATGAAAGGCAAGGGGGTGGCAGTGGTGTCCACACAACATCCCTCCCGTCCTAGTGACGGTCAAGATGTCCCTGGTCACAGGGTGTCTGAGTGTCCAAGCAGTGCGTGTGGCTCGCTGACCTCTCCACTGCCCCATGGTGAGGGCGCCTCATGTATCATCATCGGGCAGATGGCTCCAAGGGCTACCAGTGTGTGGTGGCAGGGCCTGGGGCTCCAGAGAGAAATAAGGCGTGTGCGCACCCTCACTTCATTTGCGGCGTGGGAGAGGGAGCCGCGTACCACCGACACAATGCGTCAGGCACTCTGGTGTCGTTGTGGAGGGTCCGTGGACGGCCTCATTTGGCTGGATCCATGAAGGCTTGTGGGAAGGGCTGGGGGGTTGCTGACATGGTGCTGGGAGGGTGTGCTGGGTGGGGCCAGATGGCGGAGGAGTTTCTCCTTCGGTCCCCAGGCAGTGTGGTCCCTTAAAAGGTCTTTTGAACAAAAGAGGAACTCTTTGAAGGTAGCTTGGTGTGTTCCGAGGACCGTGGGCCCTTCACAGCCTACGAGAAAGCACAAGGTTCATGTGGACTTGGACAGAGCACTTGACATCCCCGAACCTTGGTTCCCAGCAGAAGGGACTCCCAGGAGCGTCGTTAGAATTAAACGAACTGACACATTATAGTCCTAGCCTAGCGTCACAGTCCGGCCCCTGAAGTGTCACCTGCAGCTCTGAACACGCAAGTGTCACTGAGCTCTTACTGTATGACAGGCACTGTGTAGGTACGGGGGACACTTCCTTCATGAAGCCTGTGTTCTAATAAGGGAGACAGTAAGAGTGAATAGATGCAGATTATAAACAATATAATGACATCTCTAGCATCAGGCTGTACTTCATAGGATGGAGGCCTGTTTTAGACAGGGTGGTAGGAGGACACGTCCCACATTTGATGGGCTGCAGTAGGGGTTGAGAGGGGGTAGTCCGCCTGAGGGAAGAGGGATGCGGAGGCTTGTGTGTTTGGGGAGCCCCATGGAGCCCAGTGGCAGGAGTAGCGTGTGCTGGGGGAGTGGTAGTAACCAAGGTCCAAGGGACCTTGTGGGCCCTGGTATTGACTTCGGGTTCTATTCGAAGTGTGCTGTGAAACTTGGTGGTGTCAGGGTTTTTTCTTAATGTTTATTTCTTTATTTTGAGAGAGAGAGAAAGAGAGAGCAAATAGGGGAGGGGCAGAGAGAGTCTTCCAAGCAGGCTCTGCGCTGTCATGACGTGAGCTGAGGTCAAGAGTCGGACGCTTGACCCACTGAGCCCCTCGGGCGCCCCGACACTTGGCAGTGTTTGGAGAAGCGTGCGATCGGGTTTGTGGTTGGAGAAGGAGCCCTGTGTGGAGAGAGAGTGGGAAGCTGCGTGGCACACCCGGTTGTCCCGGCCTGAGTGGTGGCAGGGGACTGGTGTGAAGTAGTGGGTTCTGGCTGTACTTGGGAGGAAGAGCTGGTGCGATTTGCTGATGGATCAGATGTGGGGTGTGTGACAAGAGGAAGAAGAGTTCAGAAGGACGACAGGGGTTCACTTGGAACAGCAGCGGTGCCCTTTCCTGACATGGGGAACCCTGGAGCGCATGTGGGGCTGGGAGAATCCAGGGTTTGGCTTTGCCTGTGCTTTTTCTGTGCTTAATTATAAAAGGAAAATCCACTTGAAACCAATTTCTTTTTTTTAACTTAGAAACTGAACTCGAGCAAACACTTCCCTGAGGTCACAGGTGCTAGCTAAATCTTTTTTCTGACACCCATAATAAATATGTACCCATTACAATAAAAATGTCCGTTAGGTCATCACCCACAGGCGCCTCCTCCGCCGTCACAAGTGGCTGGCTGCTCCAGCACACACCACCGGCCCCACAATTATTAGTCGGCCCTTTAAGAATGTATTAGGACTATATTTGTGATGAAAACATAGAGGGCCTTTGATGAAAAGCCTCCTGGGAGGGGCGAGGGGCCAGGAGCTGAGCTGGTCCCAGAGCAGTGGGCGAGGAGAAGGGGGTCATTCAGAAAGACCGCGATGGCGGAAGGCGCCGGGTCTGATCAGCTCTGGGGAGAGAAAGAGCAGCTGCCCCCCACCCCCACCCTAAGCCATCCTCCTGGGGCCGTTGTTCTCTCATTCTGAGCTTCCTTTTTGCCTCCAAGGAATTTGGGTGCTTTCACCACAAAAACACTTGGCCTTTTCATCCCATAATTTGATATTCAAGCTGTGGCCTGAACTTGGAGCCGTGCTTTATCCACTTCTGCTGCCCAGGAGGGTGAGATGAATCTCCACGGGGACCGTTCTGGACTGTTCCGTGACACGGCCACATACGTACATGAAGTTGCCATCAGTGTATGCACACCAGGTGTTTGTACCACGCTTAACCGGGTCCGTACCACGCTTAACCGGGTCCGTACCACTGGGTCACTGTAGAAGCTTCTCGTGCCAGAATACGAATCTTGGGAATTCCCTCACACGATGAAGTCAAAATTAGGCTTTTTGAAACAGAGTTCTTTCTTACCGTATTCTGTGTTAATGTTTCTTCTGAGAAATTAATTTGTAACCCATCAAAGGGTTAAAGTGCACGTGCCCTGTGGTGTGCATTTACGTGGCCATGTGAGTGTGGGGTGCCCCCTTCTCGGCTCCCCGTCCGGGTCCAAGGCGCCCCTTGTAATGGCAGGCCTGGCACCGTGGGTGGGCACGGAGAAGGTGTGCATTGTGTGTGCAGGGGCCGGGAAGGGAGTGCTTCCCGTGAATAGGAAATACGCGACCTTTCTGAACATTGTTCGGGCCCGTGGAGGAAGAAAGCAAGAGACTTGGCAGTGGGCCGGAGCCAGGGTGGCTGGTTGGCCTGCCTCACCCCCGGGGCCAGGGCGGAGCTGGGACCTGGCTGCAGCAATGCCAGCGTAGCCCTGGGGCCACTGCTGAAACCAGGGAGGACCAGGCCCTCTCCCGCTCCCCCGCGGGTACAGCCTCCTGGAATTGTCTGGCCATTTGTCCTGGAATGTCTGAGGTCCCATGGGGACTGCATTCTAGGCAGGTCCTTCCACTCAAGCGAGAGCTCACATGTACATGAGAAATGGTCCATAGGTCCCTGGATCCCAGACACCATTAGTGATAAGGAGCTATCACTGTTTTATATGCTGCTAAGAAACAAACCCCACTGCTAATTAACTTGAAACACATCAACTTCAGGTATGAAAAGATTGAAAATATACGTCTTGGAATCAGTGAAATAAGTAGCTAATTAACAATACCAGGCTGCAAAAACAAACAAACAAATAAAAACCACAATAAAACGGGGCACCTGCCTGGCTCAGTCGGTGGAGCACATGACTCTTGATCTGAGGGTTGTGAGTTCAAGCCCCACGTTGGGTATAGAGGTTACTTAAGTAAATACACTTTTAAAAAAATGCAACAGTACCATGTTATAGCACAAAAGTTGCTTGAAGGCCAAATGGTTCGTGACCAGTATGTGTGGTGA